TGGACACTACACTAGATATCCTCCAAGATGATGGTATACACTTTTGGGAAAAGTACAAAAGCATATATCTCCTTGTTCTATACCTCCTTTTATATTAAAAAAATGTCATTTATAGAAGTAAAAATGATGGAGCATAAATCTCGTCTTGATTTGAAAATGGCCTTTATCACTACAGCATGATGAAACTTGGCACTTATTTCTTTTCATCAGTTCAAACCTTTTAAGAGTTACTCAGCAATTTCCCTCCTCAATCCTCACAAGGTCCTTGTGGAACAAGGCAATGATAGCATCCCTTTTCACAAGTAAATTACCTTGATCAGTATGGACTAACGAAAATGTCAGTCACCCACAATGGTCTAGGACAAAATTGGGTAATAAAATGCAGAATGTTCTAATTCTAAAACGCTAAGCATACCTAATTGGCAGGAGAAGTTCTCCATTAAACTTAATAATCACATTCCACTCCTTAATTTCCCTTCTGGATGGATATAATTCTAATTCTAATAAGAAGCAAGATGCTTAGCACTCAGGAAAGATCATTAATAATGGACACTTTGATGCAGAATATTGTCTACTGCAAAATAATAGATCTGTCCTCTGCTTTAGTTATAGACTGTAACTCAAGAGGTTCGTGGGCTCTTAAAGATCTTTAGCTACAACCTCCTTGTCTTACAAAGTAAGAGAGTGAGTACCAAACAGGTTAAATTGCATGCCCAAAATCACACAACTGCAGCCTGAACTCTGAAAGAATGTTCACAATGTGTTCTTCTAAGACTCAATTAGACAAAACCAACATATATCACATGTATTCAAAAGTCAAGAAGTATCTCCTGATGAATTAAAATGCTTGAAAACAAACACAATTTATTTCCACCACTTTAACAATTTTAGCAGTTAAAATCAATTTCACATTATTTTTCTTGATAAATAAGGACTGGCACTCTGTTCCTGTAACATAAAGTTTAACAATGGCAACAACAAATTATTAACAATACACATGTTGCTCATATGTGTTCTCTAAATACAATCATGGATTCCTGTATATTTCACATTGCACACTGAACTTTGGAGTTCCTCATTCATTTATAAATGGGTTTGGGTACAACATGTTCATTTCCATAACATAACAAAAGACAAAGTTAAGGTGGGTAGAAAGCTAGACTTTGGAGTCAGGATAACCTCGGTTTAAGACTTGTCTCTAACAATTACTAGCTATGGGATCAGGGACAAGTCAAATCTCTTAGTACCTGCAAGCAAACTTCTAACACTATAAATTTCAGATCAACAGTAGATATGTATTGGTGGAGAGTATTTCCACAGTGAGAGCCCTCTAGAGTAAATTCACAACTCAAGACCAAAAAAGGTAAGAGACATGCTACTTTTAATGAACCACCATACAAAAGATTTAAGTAACAGACAATGAAGATCTGTCATAAATAACTCTGCCATCATTAATAATGATGGGTTTGGGATCTGGACTCCAAAAAGGAAAAACTCTGGACTTTTCCACTTGGCCAAATCTCTGGCATTCCCATGAGGCTATAATCCCATCAACTGGCCTTTCATCGTGGCTAACCCCAATCTCCCAATTATCTGTTACCCTTAACCTACCCTAGCCCTCCATTGTTTTACGTCCCTATGGCCACTTCCCACCCTTAATCCTATCTAGGCTCCATTCTCCCTTGGCTACATGGTTCAGGTCCCAGGCATTCTATTACCTCCTCTGTGAAGTCAAACTACTTGTCCACTCCTAGATCCCTCCCCAGTATTTGCGTATATAAGGTCCATCTTGTCTTAATTGTTAGTATCTACTAAATTGTGTTCTTCTCCCAAAACCTATCAATCTTTCAATCACATTTCCATAAAAAATTCATAAATAGCATCAGCATTCAAGAAAAATATTTTTAAAAAGTGAAACATAACTCTTTTTATGTGCCTGCCTAATCTCTACAAGTACATAATATGGTACTGGAGGGCAGGAGCTAGATTATACAAATCTATACATCCCTTCAGTCTTCTGTATATGTAGGACCATAGATTTAGAGTTGGAAAACACCACAGCAATCACCTAATCTAAAATCCTCATTGCACAGATAAAAAAAAAATTAAGGTCCAGAGAAATTCAGTGATTTGTAAAGTCACTAAGGAAGAAAATGATATAACTGAGATATGAGCCCAAACCCTTAATTCTAAATCTAGTGTGCTTTCCAAGTACCATCCAGCACGGCATGCCCACATCAAAGAAGCCACTGTGCTCTATGAGCAAAGTAGAATTGCAGTAGCTCAAAACAAACATGAAATGCACATATTTAGAGACATCTCCATTTCAAATGTTCACATGGACTATTTACGCCCAATCTGTGGTATAGCCTTCCAAACTCACATTGGTCTGATGAGTCACAGTCAGACACATTGTACATATACCATATAGTGATGTCATTTTGGTCTACTTCGAATATGAAGAACAACAACCAACCAACTTTCCACTGGATCTCGTTTTCTCCATAGTAGGTACTCAATGAATTGTCGATGAATTAGTTATTTTATTGTAACCAGAAAAAGATTATAGAAATGCTACAAGTATCTTTCAAATATTAAGTGCATTATTTACCCTCTTCCTCCTCCCTCCCCCAAAAAATACCTAATAGAATGGTTCTGAGCAAATGAATAAGCTAGGAGAAATGAACTATCTGTTCATTTTTAAAACCATTGACTTGCAAGTGAATTGGATTTAAGTGAGGCAGAGCTGAGAAAAGTCATCAGTCCCACTCCCTCCTCCAGAGTCATCTGAGTCCAGAGGCAAGACACAGGTTAAGGCAACTGGTAATGGCCCCCCAAGTAAGTACATATATACATATGTGATACATATGAATATATATATATATACACACACACGTGTGTGCACATATCACGGACCCTCCAAAATGACCACCATTTCTCAACACATTGCTTTGTGGAAGTCTGCTATTTCTATTTAAACACACATAAAATTGAGAAATAGAAGCTATAAGGGTCTCCCATGACATCTTTCTTAGGACATCAATACACTTCAGGAGTCCCAAAGGGACAGAGGTTTATTAACTTGATTTATACACTCACCATAAATTTTAAAAAAAGGTCCAGCTTATCCAATGTGTGTGCCACAAACAGTGGGTAAAAGGGAACCAATCATTACCAGTGAGTATTTAAAAGAAACATGAAAACACAATCAGATTGACAGCTATACCTTCAACCACCTTAGCTGACTGCTGGAAAAGGAAGGAACCAAACATCCAGACCACAGATGAAACACAAGTAGGGTAGGCATTGGTGAAATAAACAATTGTGATTTTTACTACTATGTCAAATCTACTAACAGATTCACTTCTCTCTCTTCCCTCCTCAGTCCTAGTAAAGAACTAAGCTAACCAAAAACAGAAGCAAAGCTGAAAGGGGTTGAAAGGATTTGGAGAAACTGCCCAGCCCAACACTCTTTCCCCTACACCATGCTGTCTCCTTGCTTTCACACATAGGACTGCTACTAAAAGAGAAGGAGGAAGAAGAAAGAAAAGAAATATGGACTGAAAATAACAATAGTCAACATTTATACAGCACTTTACAGTTTGGGAAATATTTTCCATACCTAATCTCATTTGATCTTAAAAAATAATCCTGTGAGGTAAATGCTACAGGTGCCATTTTATAAAAGATGAAATAGATTTAGAAAAGTGAGGTGATTTGCACATGGACACATAGCAATTAAATGTTAGAAGTGGAATCTGAACCCAGATTTTCCTGACTTCATCTCTAGCAAACTAGTCAGTGCATTACACTGGTATTGAAGGTAGGAGAAAAGAAAATGGGGCCGTTTTAAAAGAGATTTGGGATGCACTGATCATCTTCAAATTCCTTCCAAAGTCTAAGAAAGTGAGCAAAATTAGTAAATTAAAATAATCATATTTATGTAAAATATTCATCTTAATAAAATGTGTTATAATGCAAATGCATTTTATGTGTAATATGGCGTACTTGGAATACATTTGCACCTCCCTTATAATCAGTATATGTAGTATATTTTTAAAGGTTTATAATTTATAATTTATAAATTTTTATAATAGTTTTATAATTTTATAGTTACATCATTTTCAATAAGTTTATAATTCATTAATTATTTTATCTTTGCTTCATTTATATATTATGGTTATAAGCATGATTTATTTTATGACTCCATTTTATGCTAAGACCTCCGCCAATAAGATAATCCCTTATTACAACATTGCTTCTATTTGAAAATAAAGTCTGCTTTACAGAGATCCACTTTCGAGAGGTTTTCAGAAATATTATGGTGAAGAGCAGAGATTTAAAACAGAGGGCTTGAATTTTTGATATTAAAAAGCTTAGAGATAGATAAACTCACATCCTCCAACTTGCTACCAAGCCCAAAATTATTATTTCAGGCCAAGATATTGAACTTGGAGCTAGAGAGAGTGTTAGGAGCAAGGCCCCAGCAGGTCACTTCTAAGAAAGGACCTTGAGAAAGGTTTGCCATCGGGAGAGGAATCAGAGTTGCGCTGGGTAGGACAGAGGTAAGGACAGAGAAGGAGGATTTGTTTGAAAAGCTCCATGTAGGACGAGGAAAGCAGCTCTTGCTATCAATCTCTCTTTTTCCTCTAGGAATCGTTTAGTTCCTCATGGATGCTCTCAGGTTCCTGCTGTTCTGCTTTGCCCTCCACATTGAAAACACTATTCTATTTATTTTTAGCATCCTACTGGAAGCTGTTTTCAAAGGACACCTCCCCCTTAAGCCACTATTCATTTGTGTGGCTTTAATTACACTCCCAAAGACAACTGTTCAAAAAATTCAAAGACAAATAAGTGTTAGGGAAACTCTACAAGCTGCAATGTGTGGTTCGGCACATGCCTTGGTAGAGCATTTCGCCTCAGACCAGTCTAGCAGCCAAACAAATAAACCCCTGGCTTGTGAAGGGTGTGAATCAAATGCACAAACAAACGAAAAATACCTGGTGAGCTCTTCTTTAATCTTCAAAGGTTCGTGTGGGTAGAATTTCACTCTAAAGCACATGGTATATGGTGGATGAGCTGAAACATTATAAAGAAAAAGCATGAGAACAGCAGCAAAGAATGTGGATTCAAACACAGGAAAGGCTGTCTTTGTAGACTAGCCCATGAGATGATTAGCTGGGTAATAACAGGCACTGCACTCAACAAAACAAAATCCAAGAAAAAAATCAAATCGAATGTGTGAGAGGAAGCCCAAGGCAAATGCAAGATACATATGCTCTCGTCAGTCAGCACATACATGACTCTCTACTACACAGCCCAGGTTTCTCTGCCTAAGCAAAGGGACATTCCAAAGTAATTTTTTCCCCATCTTGTCCTCATCAACCTCCTCCCCTGCCCTGCCTGTCAATCCTACACCTACAAATGACCTGTACACAAGCTACATTTAGTGTTTAACATGACTTGGTTGAGTAAACATGGGTGATGCCTAGAATCAAGTGTAGGAAAATGGAATGAGTGAATCCTAAGAGTAATCATGTAATTATAGCTTTGGAACTGGAAAAGACCTTAGAGGTCACTTAATCCAAATTATTAAATTTAGAGACAAGTAAAAGGAAGCTCAGAGAGGTCAAGTCACTTGCCTAAGGTCACAGAAAGTAGGGCAGTAACTTGAACTCAAGACCTCTAACTCAAAATCCAGTGCTATTTCCATCCCATGGGTAAGTAATCTGTTTGTGTATAAACATCCTTAAAAGAATGGTTTTTTCTAAATCAAGTTAGTCATACAAAGTCTAAAATTTTGCAAATGGAATATTATAGTAATGTTCTAAATTCATCAAATATCTCAGGCTCAACTGTCCTATAGAGGTTATAGCTAATTGTGTATTTTCTGTCAATATTTTTGTGGATCTGTCATAGTACATAAAAGCCTTTTAGCTTTGTTTCTTTAATTTCTCAGTATGAAAGTATCAGGCATCAGATCCGTCCCCATACTCCTTAATGCAACAAAATCTTGAGAACGGGAACTAGTGATCTATTCTCATTCAGCCTTCTTCTTCTTTTTCCATTTTAGAAAATGTTTTAGTGAGTCTCTTTTTTCCCATGTCTATAACTAACTACCCACTAACTAATCTACTTCCTTCCTCTCCCAATAGAAGCCCTCCCTTGTAAGAGTTTAGCATAACAAATCAACACACAATGACCGTGTCTGAGATCTATCTCCTTCTATATTAGGTTTCCTTTCATGATGAGCTTTTGTTTTTAAATCACTGCTAAGATCATGGATCATCCAGCTGTAGCTAGAAGGTACCTAAGGGACCATGAAATCCAATTCTCTCATTTATAGATGAGGACACCAATGCCCAGAAATGTTAAGCAACTTGTTCAAAGTCAAATGTAATAAATCAGAAATAGGATGTGAACCCAGGTCCTCTGAATTCAAAACCTGTGTTCTTTCCACTGTACCACACTGCATCCTGACCAATTCTTTGATATCCAGGTTTCATAAAGACAGAACACCAGAGACTGAATAATGAACACATAAATGAGGTTTTATTTAGTAAGGAAAATATGCTTATAAAATAGCCTGCTAGACAGCATTCAATTCACAACCATCCTCAGTGTCATTCCAGCTGCCTCGATAAGGGTATGTGGTTAAAGGACATAAAAATCAGACCTTCCCATAATTTCTGGGTCCCCTCCTTATCAGGAACTATAATCAGCACAACGCTAAATCTGTTTGGGGATAGAGTTAAAAGAAAAAACTGACATGGAACACTATGAGGGTAAAAGAAAAAAAAAGCACATCTTCAATACTTCACGGATTTATGGTTTAATGGTGATCATAACCTTTGTACCTTGTTTATTGTAATTAGTTCATATGAACAATAAAATCAAAGATTTAGAGCTGGAAATTACCTTAGAAACCATCCAATCCAACTCCTTCATTTTTACAGATGAGGAAATTTAGATACTGAGAGGTTAAGTGGCTTACTCAAGGTAATACAGCTAGTAGGTGTCTGAGGCAGTATTTAAACTCAAATCTTCCTAAATCTAAGTCCAATGCCCTAATCACTCATTAAACCTGAGACTTCTCAAGTTGCTTTGGTCAAAAAAAAATTTTACCACCATTGGGTGGCTACCCAATGGTGTTCATGAGGCAATACAAACTTAACCAGGTTAATCCTCCAGTGACAGACACACTTTCATTGCCAGAACCCTCTGAAGCTTAGTAGGACCACTAGAGCTTATGTTCCACCAGTTTTGAGAATGCAGTTATTTCTGAGCTATAATGTGACACCAAAGTAAGATACAAATAGAAGATCTCACAAACAGGAATATTTAGTCTTTACAAGAAAAGAAAAAATTCTCAATTCATTTGGGTTTTTTTTCATGCCATATGAAAATACAAATTTAATATAAAACACCAACATCTTCTGTAACTAGAAAGAGCTTAATTCCTTTATATCATGCCCAGAAATGCAAAAATGCCATCACTTTTACATGATTCAAACTCATTATTTCTTTTTTCAAAACCCCTGGGCCTAGGCTTCCAATCTTGGATCTATAAGTACTTTTCCATTTAATACATGACAGAAGAAAATCTTCTGGCTCTTAATGAATAAATTGTAGATAAGAATGATCCTAAGTCCTTTCCTAATCACTTATGAATTCAACTCTTTTTGTGACTGTGCCATTGTGAAGACAATGAAGCAAAGGGCAAGAATGTGAGGAAAGGGAACTTTTTAAAAGGGACAAGAAAACAGAATTATGGGAAAGGATGTTCAAATCAAATAAGAGAATTTATTTCCCATGGTTTCAGACACTTACTAGTTATATGACCCTGGGCAAAGGGCTTAACCTCTATCTGCCTCAGTTTCCTCAACTATAAAATGGGGATTATTATATCATATATGTTCAAGGGCTGTTGTGAGACTCAAATGAAATAATATTTGTGAAGCACTTGTCACAGTACCTGGCACCTAGGAGGTGCTTAATAAATGCTTGCTCCCTTCCTCCTATCTGCATATGCCTCCATCTTCTATACTGGCTTTGATCCATATTGGAATGGAGAATAGGAGTCAAGATTTTCCTTGTGAGTTAAGCATTAACACTCAGGATTACTCATTCTAGAAGTGAACTCCCAGCTGGAAGCAACTTAGGAGTCCAGTGATGTGAGCAGCCCAATTAGTGAGACTTTCTGTCCAGATGGCATCAATTAGGATGTTTTTCTACTCAAATAAGTTAAAAAATAATGACAGAGTTTTAAGCTTTGGTCCTCCCTGAAGCCTTGAAAGAGTACTAACAACTCAAAAAAAGCAATTTTCAGCTAAAAAGGCAGATTTTACAAAATGACTTAATTTCTTCTCAAATCAAATGCAACAACCAAATCTTAAATACTGAGATCACATAACCTACATTTTGGTTCTTGGGAACTCATTACACCTGTACTGAATGTAGAAAATAAATGACAAAGTTGTGGTTCAGGTAATAAGGAGGTTTCAGATACTTTCTTGCTTTTGATACGCTTCAGAATACCAGAAATGCCATATACTGAGTCAAATGTATGGTCCACCCAGCCCAATATTCAATTTGTCAATGACAACAAAAAAGGACACTTTGTCTACAAATATAATAGATACCCTCAGTGATGTGATTCTCAATTGTTAATGGCATACCACCTGATATCTCTTAATGATCTTTTTCATAGTCTTTCACACACCATGCAAGAATTTATCGAGAGGCTTCTAGTCAAGATGGCTGCCCAGCTCTCCCATACCTACTGTACCAAAAAACCTGAAAACAGCACTAACCAGAATAACAATCAAGAAATCCAATGAAAATTATAATAAATGACTCCTTCCACCCCACAAGTGCACAAAACAACCCATAGTCAATAGTAAAGGGGCTGCTAATGAAGGCAAACAATCCCACAGCACCCAGAGTAACCAGAAAAGGGCCAGAAACATATGTAGCCTACCAGGCTCTCTCTCTGGAGATAACAAGAGTACAAGGCTCCCCTGAAAAAGTCCAAGGATGTTTGTAAATTTACAATGTGGCTCATCCAAGGCAACAGAAGTTATCTATGAGGCCATGGTAGCAACCAGTAGAAGTATGGCTCTGACTAGGACATACAAGAGATCCAGTTTCTGATTACTGTGTCCTGAGACACCACAGAGGACCCTGACATCCAGTGCTCCGAACCTCAAAGATTCAGGAGAACCAAACACTAGGAGTTAGAGGTCAGCATAGAACCTCAGCTGATCTAGGGAGAGATCAATCAAGGCAAAAAAAAAAAAAAAAGGCATGGCACAGGCCAAAGTATGACCTCAGCACAAATCCTCTGATCAGGAACTACAGCTAGAGAAATGACTAAATCAAAGACCACCAAGTATAAAACACTATCATAGATCTGGAGATTTTCAACAAGGAGAAAGTAAATCTATAACAGCTACAAATAGATATTCAAAAGAAAAAATAGATCTTCCTCAAGGACTGTATGAATATACCTAGAAGAAATGAAATAAAAGATAAAAAATGAAATAAAAGTTCTGGAGGAAACAACTGGAAGGAGAATAAACAGCTTAGAAGAGGAAGCAAGTCAGTCACCAAGCCAGTCAACAAGTATTTACTAAGCATCTACTAAGTGCCAGGCACAGTTCTCAGTCCTGAAAGTGATAAACCTTACCCAAGTAATAGTCCTTAAAACAAGAAGAGACCAAATAGAAATCAATGACTCTATGAGAGCAAGTAATAGCAGAAAAAAGTCAAAATATTGAAAAAAATAAAAGAAAAAATCCAGAGCTTCCATGTCAGAGAAAAAAAAATACCGAAAGCATCCAGAAAATACGCAATTCAGTTACCAAGAAAACAGTTGGGATCACTCAAGCCCTGGCTGCTACAATTATAAACAAGAAGAGATCCTGGACTACAATATTCCAAAAGGCAAAAAAGATATCAGTTTACCATCAAAAACTAACTTACCCTGAGAAAATTATCATCCTCCTAAAAAATAGACCTTTAATGGAAAGACTGTGTTAGGGACTGCAGATACACACACAAAGAATGAAATAATCCCT